AGAATAATCCACAACATATTATGTGTATGTACAAAAAAATTAACATTTTTCGCGAGCCAGAAAACTTGCGGCTAACCGCCATCGCGGCGCACGCGCGAATTAGAACAATGTTTTAATAGCTTAATTATAATCTCCTAATAGTCTATCAGTGACAGTTGCTCCATATCCTTCGTTGGTGAGAAAATAGGCAATTCCCCAATATATTCGGCGTAGGCATCGTGTGGATTTTCCCGTGCGCTGGTAAAGGTAAGTCCAGTTTCAGCTACCATGTATGTGTACAGCGCAGGATTACTCTGCAATATACCCACTCTTTCAACGTGAGGAAAATAAACTTGGTTGAACGAGTTTTGCAGGTCGAGTTTCCATTCAAAAAATCCGCACGACTTTTCTCGATCGTTTGGACAACAAAAGAAAAGGCGACCTTGATTCTCTCCTTCCTTTTTGACTTTCCGTACGCAAGCATTCAATCCGTGTCTGCATTTTGGTTTTGCCAACTCGTGTCTGTCAGTCCACTGCCAGAAATTACACGGATTCTCGTGGTCGCAACAAACAAAAAACGGCCTTCCAAAGTACAGTTTACCGACGTCGTTGACGACTTTCATTCAAGCTAGTCTTTGGTGAGTATCGCACACCCGATGAATTGATCCATTCGCTCTCCACATTATCATAGCCGTTTCGAACAACAAGCGGTCTTGATCAGGGCAGCAGAATTCACAACTTTTCTTTCCCCTTTTTGAACCATCGTTTGACGACGCTTTTTCAATGGTGTACCTTTCTTGACAAGCACCTTTAAATAATCTTTGTGCTTAGCTAGCTTCCTCTTTTGAACTGGTAACATCTTAACTACACTCTTCAAAATATTCAATACACAATCACAGATCGCCTTAATGCAACTCGGCTCTAAATGTTTTAACATTGCTTTACGCAGCTTCGGTTTTCCCTGATGTAAATCCTTAAGTACGTGAACGTTCCTTCTCATGTGAACAGACATGGCAAAATAACTGGGGCACACAAAATCTTCACTTTTTAACGTAAAAAACCTGCCGCTCATCTGGTAATATTTTTGCACGTAATCTATATTTATCTTCAGTTTGAGGGTGCAAATCTATTAATAAGTAGGAATATGCTTCCTCGGTCGCGTCTTTATAAGCCTCAATTAGATATTGACCACAGCCGGAATACATTTGGCGCGCAAGAGTCGAAATAACTGTCTGGTCCCTAGGGCTTTTGAAAACAACCATATAGTGACAATTCAGCGAACATAAGCGAGAAAATTTCCCCTTATTAAATAAAGCTTGCTGTAAAAATATTACTAAAATGGAACGTTGATGTGAACCTTTGGTAAACAAATTTGCAAGTTCTAAATTATCCAATAATTCATTTTGAAGGTCATCAATGATCATTAACGTATGAAAGGACGGATCAGTTATGCCTTTGACATCAGGGAAACACTCATAAAATTGTATCTCTGGCATGTTCTGTCGTATTTCGTCAAAAATAGGCTGATATTCCCCATAGCAATATGTGATTTGGTCAACGTTTCGGTTAATCATTTGCGGTAAGTTTTCAAGAAACTTTTTTACCCAAACGGTTTTGCCTGACCCCGAAGGACCAGAAATCTGCAAGCAGAAACAAGCTTTTAGTTTTGGGTCCATGACAGTCAGGCGCAAATGAAAACAAACTGATGGTGCACTAAGTATTTAAAGTTTAATGACCGCACTAATTTTACTATTTTTCTCCTTTTAAAATTACATTTTTAAAACTGGTTCAACACATTTGTAATAAATTTAATAATAACACATTTTGCTAGCTTTTGCTAATGTTTCAACGCAATCATCGTCTCGACATTTACGTGGAATATTACATACACGACAATGAATATGACAATATGTTCGCACGTAACAAATACAACATACAAACGCCTGCCCACAATTATAAAAGTTTGCTGGTTGAGTACATTTATCATGTTCACAAGTTATGTTCCACATTTGTATTATTTGTTGTACATCAAACATTGGTCGATCCATTTCAAACAAACATCTATCGCATCTAAAATCCTCAAAATCTAGCGTACTTTCTCTTCTTGTATAATGAAGTGGTAATTTTGTATTGTTCGGGCCAAATTCTTCACATCGTTGACACTTTCTGAAATGGATTTCCATTGCTTTGCGTTCGGTACAATATTTCTGTTCAATCCCTCCTTGACGTACAAATAACAAGCAATAATCCAATATAAAAAAAGCAGAATCAACTATCCGTTTCTTGCTAAGTCATCATAGACAGGCCTGAGCAATGTCGTAAAGTACAATGTGTTCAGCCATGTACAACAGTTAATGACTTTTGCTATTCAACCCGGATAAGTGATATTCAAATTTCGCCACTGGTTACTAGTCGCGTAACCATGCAATTAAGCGTTGTAACCAAGATTGTTTTATTTCAAAGCTAGCGCAATCCACTTGTTTTAATTCCCATACACAGATTTTTACGTCTTCTTGCACAATTTCAGGCTCACAAAAATCACTAACTTTAAAAACTAAAGTCAAGTAAGCCATAATTCTACCAAAATTCGAAGGTTCTAACTCCTGATAGATTACACACAAATTTTCAGGCACGTTCTCTCTTCCAATACGAGCTATCATGCTCTCAAATAAACCCCTATGCTTTTCCAAAAGCAATTTTAAATGGAAACGAAAAGTATTCACACTCAATTCAATGTTATTTTCCCTTAAAAAAAACCATTATTAACCCTTCCGCCATCTTGAAACAAAATGGCGACTAATCGGAAAGCTCTCGTTGTTTTATCATCGGAGAACCTTCGGAAAATACGTCATCGATTATATGCAAATTAATTATCGGAAAGCCTTCGTTTTATCTTCATCGGAAAATCATCGGAAAAATACGTCATCAATTATGCTAATTAATTTGCATAACTCATGACCCTATTAATTATGCGCATAAACGGGGTGTATTAAGCCCCTCATATTACTACTGACGTTTTATCCGTATTCTACGAATGCAATCAATATTGAATGGTAGGGGAAAGGGGGAGGTTTTCTAAATTTACGATAATATTACGACATTTTGTCAAGTAATTCGAAGTGTTGCAAATGTTTTATCCAGGATTGTAGTCGAAATGTCGAATCAAAATATCTTCGGAGTGTCCATTGTTTTGTATTTTTAAAAATTACTCAGTGGTAACCGTACTTATATATACTGTATATGCGTATATAGTACAAAAGAGAAAGATTTACTCTTTAATGTGTGCATACTATTGTTACTCAGTTGCAATATTTCAATTATACAACTTTCTCACAAATTAAACAGATATGGTCATTGAAGCCGCCTACAACCTTTACAAGCAGATGCGTGGCCTATTAAAACCATCAGACAAGTCCATGAAAGATCTCAAAAGAGCCGAGAATCTAGTTAAAAAGTTTGCATACAAAACGTTCGAGGAAAAGTGTTAATGCCAAGGTTTTAAAGGTATCGAAATAAATAAATATAGAGAGTTCGTTCGTGAATTGCAACAAAGATACGATCTGGAAGACGATACAACAAAAACATTAATTGACATATTGAGTATGGATGCAAGGCAAGCAAATAAAAGTGAAATTAAATTCATTGAAGGCAAAGGCGAGATTCATTGCAAGCAAATTATTGCGGCAAAAGTCGATGGGAGGATCAATATGGCAATGACAACCTTCACTCTTGAATTTGAGCTTGAGTCCATGATTCAAGTGCGATGGCTGCTTGGATTTATCCCCATAAATCAAATAAAGACCTGCAAGAGGAATGACGAGCTGACCATGAGTGAAGATCAGAAAAATCTGCTAAAAATATGGTGCCAAGTTAAGTTATTCAACTATGTTGATGAAAAATGCAAAAACGCTGAAATCGAAGGTTAGCTCGTTCGCCTTCAGAAGCCTTCAGCTAAAACAATTATTGGACAATCGCACATCATTGTTTTAAGTATTTTTTTATAACTGGTAATTAGCTCACTTTATTAATCATCAAGTAACTTTCGTTATAAACCGCATAAGGACAACTTAATATGTCGGAACTTTTTACGCTTATAGCATTAGCATTAGGTTATATGAACAACAACAACAATTTATATCACCTATAATTATTTTATTCGCACAGTGGTGTATCATAAGTCATTTATAAGCGTGTCTTCTTAAAGTAATATAATCATAATCTAGGAAGTGTAAATGTGCAGTATTTAATTTGGATCCGGAAAGTCAACCTCGTACTCAGTGCCTGCCCGCCCGATTTTTTAATAGAGAGTTTGGCAACCTAGAACGGCAACGATAACGGCAACGGGAAAAATATAATTGCTTATATTGTTGTATTTGAGCCAAAGTATACGTTACTACACTTAATTTGCCTCTTTAAGTATTCCTGTTTCTTTCAAACGTAC